GTGTTTGCACACCTAGATACTTGTCCAAATTTCTGAAGAAGCTACCTAGCAAGACCGAAAACACATATAATTCCAAAAGAAGAAACAATAGTACTTAGTCCTTAGTGACCCCCACCATGTCTTTATATTCTGCTGATAACCGACGGCTATATGCTATATGCCTTCAACATGACCAAGAAAGTGCGTGTTTTGTAATATATGTGTTTTGGCACTATCTTGCATATATTCAGGCGTTCTATCTGGCATACAATGTATTCAGGCATTCGATGTGGCATATATTATTGCATTCTATTTGGAATACTGTCGTATAGTTTTCTATCTTGCATATATTATGACATTCTATTTGACATGTATTCTGGCATTCTACCTGTGAGATATGCAGACATTTTTTTTGCTTCTGTTCTGACACTACCTGGCATATATCTGATATTCTATCTTGCATTTTTGCTGGCATTCTATCTGACATATATTTTTGCAATTATTCTCACACTCTTACTGGCACGTATTCTGTCAAATATTCTGGCTGTCTTTGTGGCATAATTTCTGACATTGCCATGTGTTCTTGATGCCTTAATTTCAATACAGCTGGGCTGCAATAGGGGGCAGTTCAGCTTTGTCAATCATGCCGAACCCCCAAATCCGGGATGTGTGGGGCATCTGGTGAAGAGTCTTCAACTTACCATGTACAGTGTTTCTCTTAGAGCTTGACTTAGACCCTCCATGTCAGGAGGGCCAGTCCTGGCAGGGCACGTACTACTGCACTCAGGGGCGCACGAAGTTCAGTTTGGATGTCACAGAGGCCCACCTCAACGATGGACACGAGGAGATCCGGGCGGACTTGACCTTCACCATTGCGAAGAAGGGCGGCTCCGGCTGAACAGCCATCCCTGACTGACTGCTTGATTAAGAAGACCTCTATCAGGACATTCGTCCCCCTCAATCAAAGAATATATGAACATATATGATCCAACAGCCACCCCTCATCTACTAATTACAGGTCTCTTTGATGACTTAGAGTGTGTTTCAGCGGTTTCAGGGTGTCCTGCTCCGAAACACTCAGGTCCTTTCTGGGCGAAATGGCCCGCAGGGGGTTGTGGGATTCCTTGCCAAGAGGTGGATTTTGTCAAGTGCATCCGTCAAAATCACAACCTCGAAACGGATGATAAGTTTGGCGATTTGATATTGCGTGGCAGATTTCTACCAATCTTCGTGTTTGATGTTGGACCACCGCGAAACAAAATTTTGCTCAATTTGTTTCACTTTCACCTTCGTGTTACCCCAGTGACTCCCACTTTTGTTCCCAACTAAAGAACCCAACCAAAGCTCCCACTTTTCATGTGCCAAGACCGTTGTCCTTCTCGCGTCTTTGCCTAGGTGGCAACGTCACTGGTATCTATGAAGTTCTGGGGCGACTGGAGCCCAGAGGCCGTGGCCTCAATCTGGAACCGATCCCGGACAGCTGGAAAGTTCAGCCCAAGAATTTCGTCATGGCAGCTGGGCAGATGGTGGGTTTGCAGGCCAATTGAAAATGACCGGGTATGAGAGGAAGAGGAATTAGGAATCTCAGAATCTCAGGTAATGGATGCTCTATGATCCAGCAGACCCGAATGACCGGTACGACAAGACTCAGTTTGTGTTTTTTGAAAGTAGTTTGGATTGTAGAGGATCAAAGAGACACAATTAAACAGTTAAACGACGAACATAACCCGTGTTTGGTCGAATGATCGCGCCAAGCAAAGTTCCTGCCAGGTCGATCTATCCTTAAGGATCTTGCTGGACGACAGTTCTTTCGGGCACAGATGATCACAATTACAATGTCTTTTTTTTTTAGAGGAAGACAGTTGTTCTTCTTACCGGGTCTTCTTGTGGATCAACCGCGTCGAATGAAGAATCAATTTCGCGTGGCCAGTGTAGGACGGTCAATTATCAACATCATTTAGGTTTATATAAAAACATAACAACGCTAGTAGAAACAAGAAGCTACTAGTAACAAGTGCATCGCTTCTATTAACAAGTGCCTTACTAGTAGTAACGAGAAGCTAGCAAATTAAACAGCTTTGCAGGGAGAAAATTCGACCATGTGAGGTGACATGAGCGTTTTGCAGGATTCTATGGGGAAAGGGTCGTCACAGGTCGTCAACTCGGAACCTTCAAGAAAAACGTTTGTCCTATAATATGATATCCTATAAATAGATACTGGTAGTCGTATTCTTTTTGGCATCATTTGTCCAAAAACGGACACCCGAAACTGTCCAACAATTTGACAGGAGAGATATTATATTGATTAGTAAAAGGGGTCAATGTATTCTTTGCAATCCTTTCATACTACTACATAAAGGGTTGATTAGGGAATTGATGGTTTTGGGAAGCTGTCAGTTTCGAAGAAGAACTATAGAACCTATACTTATCAATACTCTCAGCAAGCCAACCATTGGCTTAGTAGTATTAAGAATTAATATTTCATGTGTTCTACAGGAAATATACTTAACCCTAAATATTTTTCAGATAATAAAAATTAGGATCCCAAAAGAACTTAGCATAATAGAGGACCTTCAAAACAAACAGGGTGTCAAGAATTATTTTTCAAACATTTAGCATTATAGAGGGCACTATTACTAATCAACGTCCAACATTATACTAAGCAATCCGGGATGCCTGCATGTTGTAGTTTGTCGATCGTAATGCAACTGCCCCAGCACGCTTCACCTCGTCACCCTTCTAGTCCAAGGTCCCCGTGACAAGTTTCCCAGAACTCCCGGCAGTAATTATTAGTAGCAAGAAGCTAATAGTAACAGAGGCTTCTAGGTTGGAGGCCATTACTAGTAATAAGAAGCTACCAACAAGGGAAGTAGGGCAACTCCCGGCAGTCCCGCCCAAAAGCGCTTTGCGTTCGCCGAGATCCCCAGGTAGGCACCCAAGGAGTGGTCTCCTTAACCGACGACGGTACTGGTCGGCACCTCTATGCCGGCACGGTGCCCATCTACGGCTGCGACAGCTTCGAGCTCTACACGGAGGCCAAAGCGCCCGACGCTGGGCATGGGGAATCTGGTGACCTTTGCACACTTTCGGAGAGGGAAAAGGGTGATACGTGGTTGGATGACCAATGAGCCGGCGCAAGTTATTTAATTAGATTTAATCGATTTTGCAACTGATTCACATGAAGATTTCACCCGAGTCACCTCGCAGATGTGCTGGGTGCGTATAAAATTAATCGGTCAGACCTTGACAGATGTGCTTCTTGGATGAATTTTTCTGGCGGGTGTTTGGATCTTCAAGCAGGGAGCAATGGAGAACTCGAGGGTGGAGGCAGCAGTGAAAAGGAACATCACAGTATTCCGGTGACGGCCTTTGATTTGGGTTGATCCAAATCGGGTGAAAGATTTCGATAGATCCGCTCGCCCAAAAGTGAGGAAGAGCATCGGGGCCCTGCTCTATGGAATCATTGGATAAACTCTGCCTGGAATGGTGCGCTTCAAAGGCTTGTGGACACCATTGATATCAATCGGCAAAGCTGGAGAAGGGTCCTGCAACGGATTATGACGGACCCTTGGACCTTTACGGCGTTCAGTCTTGGCTTCTGAACTTGGCAAGAACAGACCTCTAGTATATATACAGTATACATTTAAAAAAAAATAAGATCCTTTGAGCATCGCACAGAATCTTTAGATGACTTTCAGGGAAGGCAAGGGTTTGCATAATAATCTGAATGCCACTTCAACGAAGGCCGACCGATTCTGAGGTATGAGACAACGGACAACACCCATGGCACCATGTTTTACTTGTTTTCCATATTGTTTGGCGGGTGATTCAAAATCAAGCTGGTTCAATCTCAATCCTCGAAAACAAAACGACTTCACTAGAACCACTAGATTCACTAATTTTCACCCCCATTGATTTGCATGATGGCTTGTAGCCCAAGTGACCAGGAAGAAATGACCCCGATGGACATGATTGCAGTCCTTGAGGATGTGGGAACTTGTCATTTCATGACATCTATAATTTAAATATATATATATATAGTATATACATACATACAGAGATTGTTGATGATTTCAATGGTTTCACATGTGCGTATGTGTATATATATATATATATGCATATATGGTACCATGTATGCATAAATACACATTTATATACGCATATCTATTGAATGTGTGCCACAAACATTTTTGCCCCGCCCATTTTGCGCACCAAACCCTGGTCTGCGGTTGAGAGAAAAAGGCATGCACTTATTTATCACCCGTGAGCAACGAAAGCGTGTGATTCTTCAGTGGCACCACCACAACCCTGGGGTCCATTCAGGTGGTTACCATTGGTTACCTGACAGTCTGCGGAGAGAAAAAGAAACACAACATCGAACTGTATGACTGTCTAGAACGCAATGCCAGCTTCGGAAGCTTTGGGTCTCGCCCTGGTCGTTTCTTAGGGTTACCTTGTCGGGGAACGTGGCTTCTGCATGCTTCTGCTCTGTTGATCTAGTTATCAAAGAAGGCAGGGCCCATCAGGCTACGTTCCTCTCAGCTGGATACAGATTCATGGTGAAAAGTTAGAACATCGGAAAGCTATATGTACAAAAACATGGCGTCCCCTTCTCACCACAAACTTTCGATGCAATCAGACCCCATCCCCATCCGCCCAGGAGAAGCCGAAGACTTCCTCCAACGATGTGGCGCAGATCTTCGAAGCCGCGCGCCAGGCAGGACTTGTCAGCGTGGAGTTCACCGGCGCCAACGGCGAGGAGATCGTCCTGCAGCTCAAGCGCTGATGTCGCCGATTTCGGATCCGGAAAATCGTCAAATGGGGCCAAACCAGGAGAGGTCAGTGAGCTGAGGAAAAAGAAGACACGCGGGGGTGAAGACAGCGTGTGGAGGTGGCTGGGTCAAGCGAAGAAAACACGCACGACCGGAGGCGCACCGACCTCGCACATGCTGGTGGTGAATCTCCTAAACTCCTTAAAGCTCCAGGCCCTCCTTCCAATGGCTGCTCCTTTCTGGTCCAAGGCGATTGGGAGCAATACCGACTGGGTGTGCAGGCACGCACCTGGGGTGTCCAGGTGTGTGGATGGGTGCATTTAGGCTTGCTCATGGTATCTTGACCGCATGCAGTATCGACCACATTCGACCACCGTCCGTCTTGTTTAGTAGAGATACCAATTCGCAAAAAACGGTTAAATGTTTTGCACTGAATGGGTAGGCAGTCGTACTAGTACTCCAAGGGATGAACGCTGAAATGCATGGCAAGGTTGGGAGGTCTAAGAAATGATACCAAGTTGAGCTACCTCATGCCCGACATTTCTACCTCATCCTCCTTGACGGACCCGTAAGAGCAAAGGACGCCATAACATTGTGAGTGTGCGACAGATCTAGTAACTAGTATTATGTGGACACATTCTGTCACCAAAACAACACAAACAAAACGATCACATTTTCTAAACTAAAACATCTCATGTCGGCATCTGTCCATTTTCAAGTCAAAATAAACTATATTTTACTGAAGTAGTGAAGTCGAATTCTAATTTGTGTTCTTCTTCCATTAAGCGACCTCCTGAGGAACTGTGTGATGCTGTGTTTGTGTGCGCGTTCCAACACCTTGTAAAACGACAAGAGCAAAAATATGATAGCGTGTTTTGGGATGTTTTGGGGAACAGCGAGATTTTACATAACCCCATTATATATGGGTATGAACAAACTTCACCAAAGGAACCCTAAGAACCTGAACCACACAGGCAATAGCAGGCAATGACTAAGGCCCGAGTTCCCCTTCTTCTGGTCACCTTCTCAGGACAAGGCCAGCTTCGATCACCGTGGTCGCCTCATCACGGTTGGCATGCTGGCGCTGGAGGGCGCTGCGATGGCCGTCCTGGACGCCCTGATCTTCGGAAACGACGCTCGGCGAGACAGAGATGGTGGGGAGCAGTGCCCAGCCAAGAAGAGCACGTCGAGATGCCCGGGAGAAGCTGAAGAGAAGGGAAGGATGTTTTTGCTAAGGAACACCACATTGTGCTGGCTTTTGCTAAGGATGTTTGATTCTGTGTCGTTGATTTCAACCCCCCCATCTGGAGATTCCGTGCAAGCTCCCCAAGCTTCGCAAGGGTATGCAGGAGAGATCAAGAGAGACAGACAATGTTGATGGTCCCTCACAGAGTGGCAGCCAAACGGCATTCGATGTGAGTTGTGCAACTAAGGACACCTCATTCTTCATGTTGTATGGCTTGTACGTTCTTTTCAGCCTTCTGCTTGCATTTGAGACAAGACACTTGAAGATCACTGGACATATTTGTCCAAAAGACATGCAAAAGCTGAAAAGCTCACAAGCTCTCCCCAAAGGCGAACCGCTCTGAACCTTCTCTGGGAATGAACGTCACACAAAAGTTGCACTAAGTGCTTGAGCACTGGCTGCTAGGTAAGAACTGCCCGATGCGAGCTCGCTTGACGCTTTGCTTCCTTTCACTGACGGAGTGGGCAGTTGTGGACACCATGTGCCGTGGCCAGAGGACAGGTCAGATGGACTAGGGTCATTTTTATGTTCCCTTTGAGTAAATCTCTTCGGAATACTCTTATGTTTTGTTATTTATTTATATTGTGCTTTCTTCTGGTTCCTGGAGAATATTGAATCCGTACGATGAAGTGAAGTCGCCGGGATTCTCTAAGGCTCTTAGAATCCACTGCGAATTGAGCAGCATCTGTTTGGCACGCGAAACACCACCAAGGCTTTGCGACTGGAGACTCCAACAGCGTGCTTTTGAGCATGTCAGTGCTGACCTCAGATATCAAGGCTTTGCGACTTCCGCACCAACGATGACCGGAGTATGTCAGTGCTGATAAGGCTATACGACTGTTGTGCTGCTCTTGACTGCTGCTGGAATCAGGCCTTGGTATTCTCCTGTTTGGAGTTTCATGAGGTGTTATTCTTCTGGGGCAGAACCATGTAAACAACACACTTGAATGTCAGGATGCAGGAGCACTTGGATCATTGTGCCACTTGGCTGGAACACACGGGTGCGTGCCAAGAGCTCGGCTTTTGGACATTGATACACCGCCAACGAACAGAAGTGGGCCGCGCACTGCATGCACTGCACCTTTGGTGGGTTTTCAAGCTTGGAAGGTCTCCAGGCCAGCAGTTCCAAAGGGGTGCGGAGGGCAAGGGTGCCCATTATGATCCACTCACTTAGGGGCTAAAAGCATCTAAAAACCATTCCTTTGGAACTGCTGGAGACTGGGGACAGCATTGAAACTTCTGAAAACCCAGGAGATGCAGGATTCGGATGCAGTGCATCAGTTGTGAGAAACAGCCCTCTAAGCACTGTAAGCTTTAGCGCAGTCTCAGAGTTTGAGGGAAACAATCATCATAATTTCACTGGTCGGGACGTCCCCAAGTCAGGCCTCCTCATTTCCTTGGATTTTCCTTCGAGCAAAGACGAGCATGATTGATACAGTACCAAGCATTATTCATAGTGATCGTAGAGAGCAGCTACTTTCTTTGGCTGACCGGGAGGGCACAACTACGTTGAAAGTACAGTAATTACCTGCATGCATGTGGTTTCTTGTGTTCCCACATGCTTTGTCTCTCCAGGCCAACTACTATGAACGCCATGTGCAGAGACAGATCCATGACATTTCAGCCCCATGGCCGACAGGATGGCTGGCCGATAGCCGATAGTATATTGGATTGTCCGATTGTCCGAGAGTTGGGCGCTGCGAAAGTGCTGCAATGCCGGTGCCTTTTCCACAAATTATGATATGTACAAATATCATCAAGTATCATCATGTGTATCCAAAACAGCCCACAGCATCATCCTTTGACAATTCGGCACATGGGAATATAACAATCTAAGTCGATGGAATAAAAAGATGCCCAATGGTCAACCAGGACCTGTTGGAATCACTTGCGTGCTTCTGTCAGTGAGACTCCCCTAGCACTGGAAAAAAATGAATAGACATAAATATACTATTACCCTTCAGAATCCTTGGAATCTCAGTAGCAGTTCTGGACTCTGGACTGTCAAGAACATTCAAAACCTTTCAATACCCATCCCTTGCCAACCATCTTCCCAACCATTGGTTCGGGTCCGGATCTCTTGGGGTATTTGTGGCCCCTGGATTTTTAGGAAGCCTTCCACCCTATTCTGGGTCTTTAAACCGAATCGAAGCGGGTGAAGTGAGGACAGCCGACCAAGCCGACTGTTCCCACCGAAGCAGACTGAGGATGTGAAGAGAGGCAATCAGAAGCTTTTGTCAATGATTTTACCATCTCATGTGGTGCAAATGGTAAGTGAACCTTGGCACTGTATTCATGGAGATGCTGCTGCTAAGCGTGTTTTCTCTTTGTTGCTTTGTTTGTGTGTTGTTTTTTGTTTTTGTCGGTGTTCCGAGCGTTGTGCGCAAGCTGTTTCAAGTCGCAACGAGCAACTTTGACTTGTCGATGTCAGGTGTTCGCGCATGCTCATGTTTTTGATTGTTTTTGTGACAGGAAGTTGAATGGAAGAAACAATGATTTGTCTCCTAACACAATCCTTTAAGACTTTGTTAGCTCAGCCGACGTGTCGAGTTGTTTTCTGGGGGATGTTCTAGCCAAGTGCAAAGGGCCAACGGACACGGGGGCGTCACGAGGGTCGCCGAGCGCAGTAGAGGGAATAGCATCACATTTTTTCAGCCAAATCTGAACAGTTCAGGATGGCATCTCCCCAATCGCAGAGGACTATCCGAACGTGTCTGTGGTTTTTACGGCTCCTCAGCAGAAAAACCGCCGGAGTCCGTGATCCACGTCATCCGGTTCTTTGTGCACTGATGCTTCAAGCCCGAAGGCCATTCGGAGCCGATGTTTGATCAACAATCATTCTGCCGTTTGTCGTGCTGCTACTGGTACAGTAAATGAGCTTGATGTAAAGATTCTGGTTTTGAGGTTCCTTTGAGAAGATGCCAAAGCTCCACTGTGAATAAACTGTTTCATAGAAGCTTTCCGAAGTAAGAACTTCTTGCTTTGCTGTGGTTCTTGGCCCAGAGACATGGAAGAAAGCGATAGAAATCGTTCATTCCATTCTACTTTCAACTTTCAACCGATCCAAGATCTTCTCAATCCGGATTTCCTGAGTTTTGAAGACTTCTTTGTGTTTCACCACGGCCCGTTCCGGCGACCACCCCGTTTGATGGCGGGGCACGCTGCTTTTTCAACCTCGGAATGTGCCAGAGAACACTTCTTCGCACGATCTCCATGGGCACCTTCCCCATCACACCCCTGGTTTTGGCGGGTGATGTGTTGATATGTGTTGATTCTCCCGAACTGGGTGAATCGCGGGGAAGTATACGCATTATATCATTAAATATCATTAATCTTGGGATTCCCGGTGTCCGAATCAGCAGATGCAAGATCCATCCAATTGGAACCGGACACCGGCTGAGGACCTTCAAGGCTTCACTGCTTTCAGCTCTCGCCACTGCGCTGCGCATCGCGACGCGCGCGAGATGTACCGGATGTCCACGTGAGAAAAACATTGAAGACCGAAGGACCAGTGGTCGTTCGTTCTATCTTCTGGGAGCGCCATTTGGCTCTGGCTGTGTGTCGTGTGTCCGTGCAACATGTAGGGGGGAGGGAAAGAACCACCCGTGAAAATGAGAGAACGGGGACCGGGATCGTCTTTCGGGGGAGAGTGTGCGGTGTGTTGCAGAATATCTTCCATCAAAACTGTTGGATTTGGTTGGACATCACTGGTGATTGGTGCATATTGAATTGTGGTGCAGAGCAGGGCCTTTGAGGTGTAGTTAGTAATTAGATGTAATTAGTTTTGATTCTGAGTGCTGCAATTGTCTGCACCAATTCCTCCGATCCTTTGGCCGTTGACCGGGTTCAAGGTTTTGGGCAGAACAGTGCAATGGAACTCAGGCATTAGCCCAATGGAATTGGTGGAATTGTTAAACTTGCTCTACTCGGCCTTTGATGAGATCATTATGGACTGGGGAGTTCACAAAGTGGCACCTCGGCCAGAAAACCGGCAGACGCTTTGGGTAAACCGAGTCCAGCTGCTTTGAGGTTTGAGGGTCTGAGTGGTTGTTTGGTGGAACAGGTGGAACAGGTCGAACCCAAACAGCCGCATTCCTCATTTCAGGGGACATCCAAGAATCAATGGGGTTGTACTTGTTACCAAGGAAGTCCTTATTATTTATGGATGCTCAGATGTTCGTAATGGTTGGTGAAATATGATGGTTCTTTTTTGGTACAGATGTTTCACCAATTTGGTATCTCTATGTTTTTGCGAGGATAGTTGCGCAGTCAGACTTAGCGGGAAGGCAACGTGAGTGGCGAAACTTCTCGGCCACGCAGGCATTTGCCTCCGAGATAGCCAGGGTGTTTAACGCTGCACTGCAGGTGGCGCATGATTACTGTAGTTGCACCCCCGCCGTTGTTCAGTTTGATGCTCGCGTTTCTGCTCTGCTTCCCGCTCCGTTGATGTGGACAGAATTATGTCCTACCTGGGGTGCTTTAAGTGATGAATGTAGGTGAGCCTAAGCGGGGCATTGGGGCCTTGCCTAACGTTTTGTTGGGAGTCATGCTTTGACATCGCTGAAGCCGTAGACTCTTTGTTTGTGAAAGGGAGAGTAAGTAAGCCGAATACATCCCGAACATTCCCGAACCACCAAGGAAGTCATTGGTGATGCCTACTTCATCTCTTCTGGCTGTCCCGTGGAGGCCTGTCTTTCCGGCAGGGGTTGTCCGAGTGTGTTGGATCTTCAGGCTTTGTCAATGAGACGCAGCGCAGGGCATTTGAACTGTCCAAAGAAACCTTGCTTTAAGCTGTTGCATTCATGTCCAGGATACAGATGCAGTCTTTACCGCCGACGAATATGCGATGAGGGCTGTGGAGGCCGGATTTACACCGAAAGTCGTGTGAGTCAATGGGCCAGGCCACATCTGGCCACATAAGTACCCTAAAAAGTGTTGGGTTCACCCGAGTTTGTTGTGTAAAATCCTTAGCAGAATAATTGGTTGTTCGGCGAACCCGAGGGTGCACCTTGGAATTCGCTCCAGCAACTTCTGACTATATAGCTGGGACTGCACTTGAATCCAGGGCCCAGTGAGATGAAGCTTTGGCAACCAGCGGCTGGTGATGAAAGTACTTTCAGTGACCACACCGGGCAGACTCGGGAGATCCTCCAGATTTGTTGCTGTCAATCGACGTCGGGATGACAAGATGGGAAGGTTGCAAATTATCTTGAAAGCGATGAGTGTGGTCATTCTCGGGCGCATAAGAGACCTATATCAGATTGTCTAGCATGTTCCACCTGGGGCTCCTGGGGAAAAGTTTAAGATTTCTTTGGATTGTGTGGGAATATTTGGAAATGGGTGGGTGGCCAAGTCTAGGCTTGTTTAGGGTTCCTTATAGTAATTAGGCTGGCTCAAGAAGGCAGCATTTCTAGGAATGCACAAGCTGTTCCCATGGTGCTGTGGAAAGGGAGGTTCATGGATTGTACTCTTAGGTGTTCAAAGGAATTGTGAAACAAGTGTTTAGCTTTTGCAAGATGTTGATTCTTGGTGAGATTCATTTGGGATCTCAGTGGTTGGAATTTTGACGCATCATCAACTTCATTTCAACTGCTTTCAGGTGGCTTTGGCTTTGCAGAGGGTGGTTCCTTCCGTTTGTGATGACAACTCGGTACAGATGAGATGCTTGGCCTTGAAAGGTGTGGATCCTATCTTGTCGATATCACTTCTGCTTCACCCTGCCCAGTTGAATCTGCTACGCTTCAAGTCACAGCTTAGACTGTCTCCCAGAATTCGCGGTCGGTGTGTCGGCCGCACGATCCGCGCATCCCAAGGATGCGGTATTCACACGGGGAACGTCATTGCCGGGGTCGTGGGCAAGACAGGAGCCGACTTGGAGACAACATGGTCCTGTTGTTTGGGGGCATGCGCTGCAGGGTATTGAAAAAATGCGCATTCTGTAGAGAGACCGATTGTGGCATGATGTTCGAGAAAAAGAGAACCCCCTCAAACGCACGTTCCATGGAAGTGGAAAACAATGGAAAACCACCTGTTTGGTCGTCAAAAAAAGGTCTTTCCGCTTCCATGTTAGTGAATCAGGCGTTGGTTTTGTTTGATGGGTTCACAAGTCCTCTTGGATCCTCTTGGGTTGGGGCTCAGATTGACCTTGGTCATGCATATTGATATGTTTGTCCTTAGGGCCTAGGACCAAAACCCTTGTTTGTGGTGGGTCCAAGCCCTGCAATGCACTGCTTCGTTGGTTCTTATGAGTTCCCCCAGGGTTCAAAACAAATCACGCCCAAGACCACCAGGAGCCTGAAATGTATCTTAAAGATTCTTAAAGCAGTAGAAGGCTCAACCGGCTTGCCCGTTGAGAGTTCCGCCTTTGTCAATATGTGTTACAGTAACTTCAGTTCAATTTGTGAGCCATTGCTACTAGTAGCAAGTGCATTACTAGTACTAGTAGCTAGAAGCTACTAGTAACAAGTACATCGCTACTTACTAGATTGGTTGAAAAACAGGAAACAGACTTGCGACATGCTTCGACGCTTGGTCGCATCGGTTGGTTCCGAAGGACCGCGCTTTCACCTCTTCGGCCCCACTGTAGAATATGCCAATCGCATGGAGAGCACCGGGCTGCCTGGAAAGGTGCAAATTAGCCCCCCGCCAGAGCACGAGGGTGGGCAGGGTGGGGATCTGGCAATGGGAATGGGAGCAGCATGAGGATTTGACGTCATTTAGAGGATATAAAATTAAAGAGTGGGGATTGAAAATAATGAGAAGTCTAATTTGCTTGTCATGATGTCACTAGAACCTCAAACTGCTGTTTTTGGAGTACCAACCACCCAAAGTACTGCCTAGTCCTATCAAATTCAAAGCAGGGGACTGTTGTGGCCTGTGAAGTTAGGGATCAAAGGGGTTCCAGGTGTGTGGTCTTTGGTTCTTGATGTTTTTTTTGCTTGTCTGCATGCAGTTGGCGACCTCCGGTGCATAGTTAGCATATGTTTGCATTCTTGTGCACGTAAAATCACGTAAAGACTTGTGCGAGGTGACCGTACAAAGCAATGGCTGGACCGGGGCGGGCATGACTACATCTTTGAGGATCGGATTGCTGCTTGGCCTCGACCTTTCATCACAAATCTCGCAACCGATGTCCGTGCAAATTGTATTTCAATGTACTGTATATAGGAACAGCTAAAACCAGCACCTTCCTTTGGGGGTCACCTGGCTGGAAGCCCACAACTTTGGGATCTCCAGCTAGGACACCCCAACAGCAAGTCCGTGTTGAAGGTTCTTGCGTCCTTGTGGGCCGTTCCTCATGCTCTTCATTCCGAAAAGGTGGAGATCGCGGGACAGGAGGAGCGGACCTTTCTGGTGACCAGAAGCAAGGCGCCGGTGGCTTTTCCGGTCTTCGCACCACTTCTGGTGTTTTGTTGTTGGGCGCTGTGTTCGGCACATGGATTAGTGACTAGTGACTAGCGATGAGTGTGTTAACTGGTCCCTATAGCAATCCAAGACCATTGCAAACAAGGTTGACGCGGTTTTGTAACGTAAAATCCTCAGTAAGACAATGGTTGTTCGGTAAAGGCAATGGTTGTTCGGTAGAGGCAGCTATTAAACAACGGTTGCACAGCCATCTTGACCACGTGGGTAACTTTATATTGTAGGTCACATTTCATCGGATCTGTTTCGCAGTTCTCCTGGTTTTTTGGAGGCAAACAGAAACATGGACCCACCGGCATTTTTCTCTCATGGGCTGTTGGTATGTGGCCACATGTGACACAGCATTGTAAATTCTCGACAGATGTTCTTGATGGAGAAGCCATTTGACTGACCATACTGTTGACTTCGTCCCAAACCTCGGGTCAGCAAATGAAGCAACCAAGCGACGCAACATGACGCAAAACAAGGTCCCAGACGGGGGCAGACGGGCGTGACTTGGGAGGAGGGTGACTGGATCATGGATGGAAATTAGACGAAATTAGGTATCTACCAGGACCTCCTAAGTGGTTTCTATTGTAGTGGCCCCTCATAAAGGTTCAGGCTTAACGGCTTAACGGTTTAGGGATGTCTATTAGACAACTTGTGGGTCCAGGTATAGAGGAGAGGGGATCCTTCCTTCATGCATCTTCATTCATTCCCCACTTTCCTTGCACAACCGTCAGATCGCTCTTAGGTTGGAGGCCATCGCGAGTAGGTTGGAGGCCATCTAGTATCTTCTTGTTACTAGTAGTGTCTCAAACACCAGTGCCAGGCCCGGGCGGCGCGGAAGATCCGTACGGAGCTGGCGATGCATCGGCATGTGTCACCCCACGCGTACGTGCGGAGCCTAGACCATGGGGGGAGACCAATGGAGAGGTCCGTTGGGAGATATCTACAGTCGGATGAGAGTAGAGTCAAAAGAGATTGGAGTTTGGGTTCCAGAGTTAGAGATCACAAACTTGCCCTGGACAACCCATTTGATTCTGAAAGAGAGGTCCGCGAAAAGAATTCTGAATTTTAGTATCGTTTGCAACTGCCAGAATTGCAGCAAATTTTTGTTGACGGTTCTCAGACCAGGGACATGCACCGAAACCTGGATGGCAGGTCATGTCTGCAGCAACCGAAGCGAGTGAGATCGTGTAAGCCGAGAGAAACTCCGTCTTGAGAGCGGCTGGGCAGCAAGCAAGCGTGCGTTCTTCTTCTGGGCGAGCCAAACGTTGTCCGGCCAGGAAAACACCAGCATCAGAAGGCTCGAAAACACACAAGCAGAAGGCTTTCTGGCAAAAGCCACCAAAAACACGCCATGTGACCCATGAGTGTTTAGGGGTGAGGCAGGACTTTGGCCGTTGTGCCAGATCTTTTTCGCCAGAATCAGCGAACGAACCAGGACGTGGGCTTTGAAGACGTGTCCATAGTGACGCAGGATTCCACAATTGACAATTATTTTGATTTTACATGTTGCATCCGGGTTGCAACGTTCTCAATCACTCTCTAAGCAAAAGCTGTTGGAGTGACTGATACTTTGAAGATCTTTGAAGATATACTGTATAGCTTTTGTCAAAACAGGAGCCGTGCAGCAAAGCAGAGGTGCATTGCTAACACGGGAATTACCCGGGCTCCTGTACTTGTACCGTTCAATTGTCCAAGCTACGGCAATACACAGCAGTCTCGCAGATCGGTCACTTCCTAATCAGGTTGTGTGGTTAGCTGACTTGAAGAATTGAGCGGTTGTAATCTCGGTAGGGTTGAGGCTTTAGACGGCTGGCCCAAAGGGCACAGCCAGGCAAGCCAGCCTTGGGACACTCCGCAAAATCGTTGGTGTCGTCAGTCATAGTCATAGTCTTATGAATTAAAACAAAGAAACGGGTCACGATCTGTGGTGCATCGCATTTGGAAAGTATAGTTTCCCCTTGGTTCCGCACCGTGCACAATTTTTCTGTACGGTCTGTGTCCCATGGCCAAATCCCTGAGAGTGCGATCGGCTGACAGCCTCCACTTTTGGAGATGCACGTGGCATTCGGGTCAAAACATGGGCGTGTTTGATCCGTGGTTGGATATGTTTCGGGAAGCAAGTGACCGTCACACTGGCCAAATCATACTGGCCAAACTTGTAATTTATTTGGAATTTTGGATAGTCGATGCCAAGATTCCGGCGCCCAATGCTGACAGGGTGAGGATGTGTGGTGCTTTGTGCCAGGCAAGTGAAAAGCTGAGCAAGTCCCTTTCCAACACGACTAGCCCAAAGACTACAGTGGTGAAAGAGGAGAGCTGTGTGGGCGCTGTGTCAGCAAAACCAGCAAATCCAGATGATACCCAGATCGATGTGTCTCAAAGCTCCGGGTGGGCAGTGCTTCATGTTGTTAAACCATAGCATTGTGCTGGGCAATATCATGTGGATGTGGCTCAAAGAACGAAGACCCCGGAACCCACTGGATTTAGTTTGGATTTAGGTTACATGTTTACTACTACCAGTCTGCTGGTACAGCCTTCACGACCCCGACTGTTGATGAAATTGATAAACTATGAGTATGTGACACTATTTGATGACACTATGGGGTCTCCATGTTGGGAGCAATCAACCATGTCGCTCCGATGGTTCACCACTTCATCAAGGGTTCCCGACCGGAGTTGAAGGAGTGGTCTACGATCCACTGTGATCGACCAAGATCGTGTTGAGACGTTTTGACTCATGTCTCGGGAAAAGAGCACAGGGATGGCGCAGGATGTTGTGGTTGGAGTTGCTTCGGACCTGAAATCAAGTCGACCTTGCACATCGGTCTTTTTCGAGATGGGGACATGGAGATCCCTTCACCAGCTGCAGGAGAAGACCACCCAGAAGCCAGAGGCGGCAGCTCTTCAGTTTGTATGCATATGTTGTACTTTGATTCTTTGCTTCTTTCCTCAGGGAGCCTTCGAGCCACTCTTCACTTCAGATGTAGGAGACAAATATATACTGTATATATATATATGTATATGTAAGTAATACAACAGATCTCCAAAATAATCAAATAGACCAGCACCATCCAGCACCCGGGGTCACCTGGTTGGAAGCCCCAGCCCCACTAGACCTTCCACATGTTGGCCTAGCCATGTTTTTCAGGAGCCAAGTGGATGGTTTGACTGGTTCAAGCTGCTGGAGCAAGCGGAGCAAGCTGAGCGGGAGTCCCGAACCCAGCGGTCCATTGAGGCGGGATTTACCAAAACGCACTTCGGGGAGCGTTTTGGGTCGTTTCTGTTTGGACGTGAAGAAAAACCTAAAGAAAAGCAAGATCACTGGTCACTTGCAAAACCGAAAGAGGTCCTTATATAGAAGAATCTGGCAATAAGTGGATGCTTTTCGTGGCGGCGGGAGCTCATGGAGTGCAATCCCTTGGAGATAGAGGGTGTCCCAAACCTGCCGAAGGGGCATTAGGGACCTCAAATCCAACCGGTGGAGAAAACTGAAGCTTGATTTTTCTAGGAAAACGGCATGAGGTCAGAGTTTGGGGGCAGAGATTGGGCGACGTCCCCCTGAATGGAGATCGCAGAGATTTGGCTCAAACAATTCCAGCGGACGCTGGAGCTGCCAAGCGCCATGAATTGCTTCCAGTGGCTCTTCAGCAGCGGGACGACTGAGATCATTCGGCCAAGCAAGTCAAATGATGGCAAGCGACTGTTGGTGCCAAAGGTGCCACAGATGAGATTGAGATTGGAAAACTCATGCATGCACGTTGAAGTAGTGAAGTAAAGGACATTCCTTGTCATGTGAGTCACCTCGCAGGCGTTCCAAAATCCGGACACGTCCAGAGATCCCACAGGGTCCCATATAGGCAAAACTGCTAGTAGTAGCTTCTTGCTACTAGTAGCGATGGCCTCAACCTACTAGCTCCACGAATTCTCCCACAGGGTCCCACAGTCTCAGGGAGAACAGATGTTTGGCTTGATGCCCTTGTGCTTCGCCACCTATCCAGCGATTGCCTTGCGTGTGCCAAAGTGCGACGAGAAGCGCTTGAAGCAGTCCTTGTCCAAAGCACTCGATTTGGTGCCAAGCGCAGCTGGACGCTATGGAGAGAATGGGGACATTTTGGAGCTCAACGACGCAGGCTGAGGGCTTGGAAGTGGAGATAGGTCTGAAGATATTTGGGTTCATATTTCATATAGACCTCCAACCAATATGTATATCATGTATTATATATATAGTTATACTAATATGTTAAATATTGGTCTATTTCCATGATCTTCTTCCGCGGGCTTTTTGAACGTCTCCTAGTCTCCTATTAAATTAAGATCTACTGTAATAGGCAATCATGTGAATGGTTGTCGCAGTCGTAGCATGGTCAAGAGCTTCCTTTTCAGCGGGTTGTAGGGTGACTTTCCATTCCCAGACGCTCCATGTCCATGGGACTGCAAATATGGCCTACATTCACCAAAAACACAAAATGCATATTCTGCAGTCCCCTGGAGCGTTTGGGATTGCAATTCATTCGAGTCGAACAGATCTGACAAGTCCCTGAAGAGTACTACCCTGGGCTTCGCTCTCTGAAGAAAACTCATTTGTGCCAGGACCCTCCAACAGGTCACCATTTGTGACTGTTAAGACCTGTTGGAGGGTGTTGGTAGATGGATGTCATTTCACGAATTCTTGCACCAAGATTCCTCCTACATCGCTGTCCCATGTGAGAAGCAGATTACTGGCAGTCAGAAGAGGGCACCCTATAGAGTCTATAGAGTTACTGTTGGTGGAAAAAATATTGCAGCATCTCACGGTATCTACACTGTGCTTGGGGAACTTCGAGGCGGTGAATGGTTCTTCCATCAACAGCATTAGTGACAGGCCTAACACAGGAGGCCCTAACGCAGGAGACCATTCTGTGGTTCTCGGATGTTTTCGGTACATGGATCAGCTGCTGCACTGATATGATACAGTGTCAGAGTGTGTGTATCTGTGTGCGTGCGCGATTTGTGTGTGTGTGTGTCCCAGTGTGTTGCAAAAACAACTCAGGGAAACCAGAGTCCCCTACGAACTGATCCCATGATAGCAGTGCTGTGGGTTCAAGTGAGGTCCATCCCTTTGACATCCCCAAGCGCTTGAACAAGTGAACCTGTTGAGTTGTGGACCGACTGCATGTTTATGGGGTGAGGCTTCGGAGTGACAGGAGTGATATGATAGGAAATTGTAGTGCTGTATATACAAAAATTGACAAAGCCCCGGGGGTTGGGAGGCGTTTCCATGTCTTAGGATCCCCAAACCGAAATGAGAAAATGCCCAGATTCGCTGGAGGGCCTCCAACACCAATCTTGAAGCTTCATCAGTCGCTCGCTTCCAGGTGTGCCATTTACCGTGGTCCAATCGCAGGAAGCCTCTGCACCCGAGAAGATCGAGGACCTGGAGAAAACGACCCTTGAGAAGGGTCGGGAAGTCAACGACAACAAAAGATTAGTGGGCCCCTAGTGAGAGAAAGATTACGAGCTCTTGAATTTTTTGGTGTTCCGTGTGTTGGTTATAGATTAGAGATGATCTGTGCCAGCCTCTGGCCATTGTTTATGACATGTTTATGATTTTATGTATGGTTATGATTGTGTTGATGATGTTTTATATTGTGTTAACATGTGTTGTTGGTTCGTATGTTTTGTCAAACGTGTTTATATGTTCATAAATTGCATCAGACAAATATAAAATCAACCCATTTGTGCGAGAGGCTGCTTGATTGTCTCTATGTTAGATGGAGATGTATCAAGAGAATACTGCAAAAAACTATGCACCCAAATGTCGCGGGCTTTGGACATGAGTTGAATCTGTTGAGCAACAAAGGTCTGGCGATGTTGGCTGCACGGGAATAGCAAGCCATGGCAGGTACTAAAAGGCCCAACCACTTCCCTGGTAACAAACATTGGGTGGTGCGACAAAAACAGATGCGTGAAAAAGTTCTCACGGTGTTCAGGAGTTCTTGCACTGCGAGAAGAACAAAAGGGAGTGCCATGGAATACCCTCATGTAATAGCGTTCCAGGCTTCAGGCAGGATGTTTTTCAGATGAGCAGGTTTGTGGGTAGTAAGATAGTTTGTTAAGATTTCAGTATGGGCAGGTGTTTGAATGGTTTGCCAAACATCAGCATAGTGTTTGTGAGGCTCCTTCCAACTCGAGCCCAAAATGAAAGAAGTTTCCTTGTGCATCTTTAGCCCAAGGTAGTGCCCTCTCTCTCTTGCAGGAGCCAAAGCTCCTGAACTTTGCCACCTTCCACAGGCCATGGAGTGTGCGGAACGGCTACAGTAATTTGGCCATGATAACATCTTGCCGTCGCAAGATTGAGAACACAGACACGAGCACACGAGCTTTCTCAGTTTTAAGGGTAGGGAGAACAACAAGGACGACGACTCTTGATTCATGGTCCGTTGATATAGCGGATCACCACAGCCCATAGATGCGATGTGGACTCGTCCATATGCGACTCCACCAGTCCCAGTTGTACTGGTATCGATTTCGGTGGTTCCTAGAGGGGTGACTGATGAAGCGCAATAGAAACAAGAAGCTACTAGGGGCTCCTGGCCTTACTACTAGGAGCAATGCTTGCTGTTAGAAACAAGAAATAGATAGAATTAAAAGTAATTAGAATTAAGTTCAATTAGAATTGAATTAGAATTAGGGGTGTGGGGAGTGTGCAGCGCATTGCGATGCGATGTGGCGACTTGTGATCCTGTCGCGACGCCGAGGTCCTTTGATCTCAATCAAATTGACCAGCTACAAAGATGGAAGTGGTGTCCTGGCCTTCTCTCGCTCACACATGTTGTTCGATGGCTCCTCGGCTTGGATCTTCTTGGGCATTTGGGCTAGCTTCGCAAAGGGCGACACCGTCAAAGAGCCCTCATGGCGGAAGGAGGAGGTGGTCAAACTGCTTCCTGATGATAAGGAATTCCAAGAAATGGCACAGAAAATGTTTGGCATCAACCCAAAACCCACGATCTTGACCAAACTCATGAAGAACTTTCTGATCCCAGTGGTCGGTGCTGTCATGGACACGTTCTTCCTCTACGCTGGCTACTCCTTGACCAGATATCGGTTCTTCTTCTCAGATGAAGAGTTGGCCCTGCTGAAAGACGAGGCAACGCCCAAGGAGGTGGCAGCAGGTCAAGACAACTGGGTGATCCCCGGCAATGATTGCCCATGTTTATCAATTTTTTGACCCGCCCCCAACCCTCGAGGATAGTATGGTTTGCGGCGTTTTCTTTTGTTCAGTCAAGCTCGGATGAAATCGTTTGCAATTGAACTAGACGACGGTTGGCCCGAGAGCGAGACATGTAATTGTCCAGCACTGTCGAAAAGATGTATAGAAAGAGAGAAAGAGAGGGTGGATGTGAAGGAGTGACAGTGTGGATGTGCAGGTGCGATATAGATCTGTAGATGTATGGAGGTGGAGAGGTAGATCTGTGGATGTGAGCGTGCGAAGATGTAAATGCACAGAGACGAGAGAAAAGATATGTAGAAAGAAAGAAAGAAAGACAGGACAGATGTGAAGGAGCGACAGTGTGGATGTACAGATGTGATATAGATGTGCAGATGTGTGGGTGTGGTGGGGTGGAGAGGTAGATCTGCGGATGTGCGCGTGTGAAGATGTAAATGTAGAGAGGTGAGGGGGTGTAGACGCAGATGCGTCGATGCAACGGCAGCGCAACGTCAACCTTAGTTGTGCAGGTACAATGCTGAAGAGGTTCAAGTAAAGCTGAAGAACGTACATTTCACACTGAAGCTTCCACGAACAGGGCGACCTGAGAGTAAACGACGTCACGATCATGACAAGCGACTTGTGTATTCCAAGCGAACATCGTTTGTCATGAAGGTGAAGTATACACATACTAACGTCACGATGACTCTTTTGTGGCAGCCACTTATGAGTAAGCAAAGTAGCTAAAATTTGTCAACCTCTCAAGAGAGCCGGGTGGTCGGGAGACATGACTCAGCTGCAGGGGCGCCAGAGCAGCCGCGAGAGATGACTCAGCCACGAGAGATGACTCATCCGCGTACTAAAGTTGTACTACAAAGTCCTCCACAGCTTGCTCCGCGTACTGAAGTTGTACTACAAAGTCGCCAGTTCTCATCTTCCAGCTCCACAGCTTGCTCCGCGTACTAAAGTTGTACTAGAAAGTCGCCAGTTCTGATCTTCCAGCTCTCTAGATACTCCGCGTACTAAAGTTGTACTACAAAGTCGCCAGTTCTCAGCTTCCAGCTCCACAGATACTCCGCGTACTAAAGTTGTACTACAAAGTCGCCAGTTTTCATCTTCCAGCTCCCCACATACTCCGCGTACTAAAGTTGTACTAGAAAGTGGCCAGTTCTCATCTTCCAGCTCCCCAGATACTCCGCGTACGCAAGTTGTACTAGAAAGTCGCCAGTTCTCAGCTTCCAGCTCCACAGATTGCTCCGCGTACTAAAGTTGTACTACAAAGTCGCCAGTTCTTATCTTCCAGCTCCCCAGACACTCCGCGTACTAAAGTTGTACTACAAAGTCGCCAGTTCTCAGCTTCCAGCTCCACAGATACTCCGCGTACTAAAGTTGTACTACAAAGTCGCCAGTTCTCAGCTTCCAGCTCCACAGATTGCTCCGCGTACTCTGCGTACTACAGTTGTACTAGCAAGTCACCAGTTCTCATCTTCCAGCTCCCCAGATACTCCGCGTACTAAAGTTTTACTACAAAGTCGCCAGTTCTCAGCTTCCAGCTCCCCAGCTGCTCCGCGTACTACAGTTGTACTAGCAAGTCGCCAGTTCTCATCTTCCAGCTCCCCAGATACGCGCGCACATGGGACTCATCCCCCTGCGCCGGACCGGGCCAAAACGCACTCTCGCCTGCATTTCGCGCTAAAACGCACTCTCGCCTGCACTTCGCGCCCTCGACACGCACGAGCTCCGCAGAGGGTTGCCCACGACTATGAACATGAGCAGAGATGTAGATGTGTGAAGATGAAGATGAGCAGAGATGTCGATGTGAGGATGTGAAGATTAGCAGAGATGTAGATGTGCAGATGAGAATGTAGATGTAAAGATGAGCAGAGATATAGGTGAGAATGTGGATGTGCAGAGGTGAAGATGTGAAGATGTAGATGATACGTAGTTCTGCAGATGTTTTTTACGAAGAACCCTTCGCAGACGCTCTCGGGAAAAAGCCAGTTGTTGCATCAGGACCACACAAGAAGCTCTTTGTGCTTTCATGCTGTTGGCTCTTGGGCGCAACTGCTTGCCAAAGACCTGCTCGGGAAGTGTTGCGATGATTTTTCTGCTGGATGTCAGGACTGACCATGGAAAATCAAAACTAAAAAGCTGAAGTTGTTCCGCACCGCTGCAACACATTTTGTCGTTGTTGGAAGATGAAAACAGTCAACGAGCTCAACAAACAGTTCTCAGCTGGATTCGTGTAGGTGATTTGCCCGATTGCCAGGAAAGCCCTGAAGCTGTCTCCAAATCAGCTCATGGGAAATGGCCTCACCTTCTGCAGCCTCTCGATCGAGTCGCAGAAATTGTTGGCCATGGATCTCCCTGGCTTAGCAAGCCACTTACATCAAATGCTCTCCACAGGTGAGGGCCCTGGCTCCCTCGAGTCACAGCGAGACTTGTGGCGAGTCACCAACGGTGCCTGCGAGAGAGAGGTTCAGAACAATATTCTTCAAAAGATTCATCGGCCAGAGACTGGGTGGTCGTTTGAAAGAATGCGTTGCATTTCATCACTGGGAAAAGCGTGGAAAAGTGATCAATGTATAATATGCATCCCTACAATTTGATCGTTTTATACCCATGCTCTCCATGTATGGAATCTGAATATGCCTACATTGACCCAATAAATGACAGTCACTTTACCGAGGATAACTGTGACTTGAAATTTGCCGTGAACAACTCCTCGAAGAGAATCTTGCCAGACTATGGCATCGGCCGCTGCGATTCTGTGGTGACCAATGCCGGGCCAACCGTCTTCCTGCCACCTGGATCCACCACGATCCACCTAGTGTTTTTGGATGTTTGTTTGATTATGTTTGATGTGTCCTACCTTGATGCATATCTCTTGATTTGCCTTTGTGTTTCCTGTTTATGATGCACATCCGAGGCCAGCACAGGGAGGAATCGAAGTGCATTTGGATCCCAGCGTTTTTTCCAGCGCTGGATGCTCTCAGTCCCAGAGACAGAATGCACTTGACGCCCTCCGGCAGTTGCCCAAAAAGAAAACGGAGTGATGTCGTTCAGAAACGTCACCCTCGATTGCAAAGACTTGTGCCTAGAAAACTACTTTTGGATCTTTTCGAAGTCAGGACAGCAAAGCTCCTGTACTTCCATCGGAAAACGTGATCGTACAGCTAGACTGGACTACTGTAGCTCATCGCAGCCTCTTTGCAGAAAAAGATGTCTGACAGCACAGGGTTCCTGCATGTTCTGTCCAGTTTTCATCAACTTTCCATAATCCTCTAGAAAGCTTCAACTCCAGCACCCATCTACTGGTTCTTGGTCAACAAACAAAAGTTCTCCAAACTGTTCAGCTGTTCGACCTTTAGGCAGGTACTTAATGTCAGGCACATCATAATACGCTTCTGTCCATAGTCTCCACTCATCCACTTGCTCGTTGAGTGAAGGCTTATTGCCATGATTGGTAGGGAAAAGCGGTGCTGTGATTGGTAGGGAACTCAGGGAACTGTGCCTCTCACCACACCACAGATTGGTCGAGGGTTAGACTGTGCCTCCCACCTCGACCTGCAGGGCCAAAGCGCATCGATGATGCAAACTTGGGCGCCGTCCATGGCCGCAGGGCCTTTGAAGGCAGCGGGTGATAGAACCTTCTGCACTTGGATGATGTTGCTGGTCATAGAACCTTCTGCACTCTTTCTGGAAGGATTCGAGCCCAAAAGACCCAATGGTGTCGGGACAATTCAGTGACCCTCGATGTTTGCGTATGTTTGAATTTGTTTCCTTAAACCGATGGATGTTAGCCTACCCCAGAGATCCCCGGGCCCTAAAATGTTTTCCCCATGTTCTTTGTTGGAATCCCAAGGCCCTCCCTTGGCGAGTTCCATCGCTTGCCTGCCTTGTAGGTCTCGCGCAGCAAGATTGGCCTGGTTGTCGAGGGAAGTCAGGAGAAGGTGCAACGGCGATGATAATCCTGGCTGTTACTTAGGCAGGGTGAGTGTTTTTTAATTGGCGAATCCCAACACTTTTTCCTGTTCCTTGAGCAAGTCCAAATAATGCAAAGAGATCTCTGCCGGGCGTCTGAAGCATACCTCCTGCGATTCTACAAAAGCTGTCAACGACGTCAACGAGGTTTTGTTCATTTGAATGAAGCTGGAAAGATACCTGAATGGCACTTAGAATTCATTATATCACCACAGATGCAATATGGCAACCAGTAGATGTTAGTGATCCTGCCGTTCAACATGTCCCATTTCGGGCAAGGTGCGAGAGCTCCTTGCTCCACAACTCTGAGACATGTGAGGCCGTCATGATGCATTGACCACGGTCTGTAAACAAGAGAATCCGACTCATGTGACTTGAAGTTGTGGCTTAAATATGTCACAAATGATCATTTAATGATCCTTTGATACCCTTTAATCAGGCAAAGATGCAATTATGTGTTATACATAGAGTTTGCATGCATGGTGCCGAATCACTCATCCCTACAGCTCAAACCTTGTATGCGAACAAAACACCAACAACTCATGCTGGGTGTAGGCGATCACATTAAGGAACAAATTCTTGATCTGAATGACGAAGGCCGGAACTCGCGCAAGAGATGCACGCGCGGAATTCCGCCAGCCAAAAAGTTTGCTTGATGTGTGCTGTGTTCTTTTTCCCGCTAGATCGAACACCATAGAAGATATAGAAGACTTGCTGAGAAATAGCTAGTTCCATTGCAGTAACAGTCGGTAAAAGATGATCAATTGTGTTTTGAGGAAAATCCTTTACTAAACCATCCTTATCCAAAATGCAATTTTGTTGCTGGTGGGATAGACCCAACGAGCGAAACAGTTCAAAGCTCCACATCTCGGCTGGATCTCAGCGTTGCTTGGTTTCTGCTCTATTGGATGTTTTTCCTGACATGGGTTTGGCCAAAGCTGGTGATGAAGCCAAGGGGTTCCATAAAGTTCCTATGTCCTTCTGTGATCTTCTATGCAAGCCGATCTATTGACAAAACGCGAACTGAGGCAGCCATGCTGGACCGCGATTCGAGCAATGAGGCTGGTGAGCAAGTGGGAATGTAGGCAGCGGTGGAGTAGGGAATTGCACTCTTCAAGATGTTGTAGAGCTGCCTCAGGAGTGAATGAGGAAGAAGTCCTTGGACAAAGAGAACTGATCACTGGTTCATTCAGATGGGTGTGTGTTTAAAAAAGAATATATATATATATATTTAAGTATATTATACACAGTAAGTAATGTATATTTGAAAAATTGAGACCTCCCAAAGATCCACTGGAAGAAAGAAAATAGACCAAAACATATTGGTTGGGGGTTTCCCTTTCATGCAATACACACCCACATCGCACCAGCTTGAAAGAGTTGAAGCAGACCTGCTCTTTGAGGTAACAATTGAGAGGCTCAAGGACCAGCAACTCGACAGCAGAAACAGATGATGTTGTTCTCGGTCTCCTATTCATCGGGAGAACCAGATGGTAATGACGAAGAACAACTAGGTGGACTGCCACTGGCACAGTCCTGCTTCGATTTGGTTTGTGCTTCCCTGTGTCATTTTGCGGCATCGCAACATATCTCAACAACTCGAGTGTGGGACAAGTAGATGAAAAACGATGAACCCCTGCTCTTTGACCAACAAGAAGCTACTAGGAACAAGTGCATCGCTAGTAGTAACAAGTGCCTTACTAGTAGTAACAATGTTTGCTATTAATTGACCTTTTCTATGCAGACACTTCACATCTCTTCCCCTTCAGATCTCTCAGACCCCCACGCATCGGAGCGGACCTCTCAGGGTGGCGAACTTGTTCCGTGAGGTTCAAGTCGTTGGGGCCCTCAGTGGTTCGGCGAGCCTTTTATATATAGTTATCTATAGACTGTAGCCGATCTGAAAAATAACAAAAAGCTGTAGATACTGTATAGTCAACTTACTGAAAACATTTGAAAACAAAAAAGGAACAAACTGTGGGTCACTGTAGTAGCTTAGCCTTAGCCAACTGAAAGAATAAAGTGAACACCGAATGTCTTTGGAACATTTTGGAACCCGTCTTCAAAACCTGGTCGTCCTGCGCCTTCCTCTTCCCCCCACTCGGTCCGAAGCGCGGAGGTTCGTGCATCCAATGAGTCCCTCAAGGTGGAGAATGCCGAAGCCAGACGACTGAGACGGATGGGATGGACGATATCAGATCCATGTTACATCCAAAGCGCAGGGGTTTGGATGACGATTTGGGAAATTCAATTGTTCAGATCACGAAAGCTAGCATGCTAGCTGAGTTCTTCTTTGCTTTAGCAATTAGTAGTGGGATGAGCTGTGTGCCTTAAAGCTTGATATATCACGCTAACCACCCCCCCCCCACGGTTCGACTCCCAGCTGCGCCGTGTAGCGGGGGTTGGTTGAACGTGTGAACGTGGTTGGTTGGGTGTAAACGGTGGCTTGGTGTAAACGGTGCTGCTGCTGCCGCTCTGCTGCTTGCTGCTGCTGTTTGCTGCTGCCGCTGGTTGTCGCTTTTGTAGCTGCTGCTTTGCTACTTGTTGCGGCTTGGTGCTGCCGGCTGCTGGCTGCTGGCTGCAGGCGGCTGCTTCTGCTGCTGCTGCTGCTGGCTGCTGCTTGCTGCATAGGACTTGTACTTCACCGTTACAAGTTGTTTACCCTATTTCTAACCTAATGCATGCATAAGCGGGTGGTAAATTTACTCCCAAGGCTTGCTATAACCATACACAGGCTATTTCCTCAAGACACTCTATTCCTGATACCTTTTACATCCTTTTTACCAGTGCTTATCCTACACTACGGACGCCCTAGTGTATCCACAGTCCTTGTGATGCTTACCCCTCGTTCCGGCTCAAGGCATACATAAGCGGGGGGTAAATTTACCCCCCAGATTTGCCATAACCATAAGCCGGCTATTTCCTCAAGACACTCTGCTCCTTATACCTTTTACCAGTGCTTATCCTACACTACGGACGCCCTAGTGTATGCACAGTCCTTGTGATGCCAGAAATGCTTACTCCTCTTTCCGGCACAAGGCATACATAAGCGGGTGGTAAATTTACCCCGCAGATTTGCAATAACCATAAGCCGGCTATTTCCTCAAGACGCTCTATTCCATATACCTTTTACCCGTTCTTCTCCTACACTACGGACGCCCTAGTGTATGTACAGTCCGTATGATGTCAGAAATGCTTACCCCTCAAGGCATACAAAAGCGGAGGGTAAATTTACCCCCCAGATTTGCCGATCACGCATCTTCGTGCCTGCCAACGAGTGCACCCGGGTTGTTCCAATGTACCCTTCCCAGTCAGCGATGTCACATTTACATTCTTTAGCGCAAAGTATGTACATAGCAACCTTCCTCCCAGAACATGTGCTCACTACATGCTTTGCCGACTATGTAACTAGTACATCCGGTGCGATTTGGCTAGCTTTCGACCTCCTCCCCCTGGCCTCAAGTTTCTTCGGCACAAAAGCTGCACAGCATGTTGATCTGTCATTAGAACGTAGTATTTTCTGGACAAGCTAGTACCTGCCAAAGCATGGCCAAAAAAGAGTGCCGGCTTCAGCAAGTCTCAAATGAGGCCTTCGACCGTGCGGAACGGGCAGAGGATGATTTGAAGCAGGCCAGGAATCAAGATTCGCTCCAGATGTACCAAGCAATATATGAGCAGCCTATCTTGCATTGAGGGATGCTGAACACAGGAAGTTTGCTTTTGGGTAGCAAGATTTCAGGTAGATCATGGTAGATCCATTTTTGGGTTTCCAGCAGACATAGGGAGCACAGCACAGCACCAGTTTGTTCGCTGGAGAGGTTCGAACAGCTTTGGCTGACGGGGTACTGGCCCTAGAGTGGTGCAGGATCTTGTGTTCAGAAGTCAGTCATCGCATTCAGAGTAAACAGGTGCCTTACTAGTAGTAACAAAAAATTATTAGAAACAAGTGCCTTACTAGTAGTAACAGGTGCCTTACTAGTAATAACAAATTGTTATTAGAAACAAGTGCCTTACTAGTAGTAACAGGTGCCTTACTAG